GACAATGCTATACTTTGCAATAACTGTGAAACAGATATATTTATTAACATACATTATATATATATATGTTTGTGTGCGTGACAAAGATAAAAAAAGGATTACCTATACATACTTTAATCAGATCTGATAAGTATAATTTCAAAATTTTTTGTATTTCTTCAAATTTTCTAGATTTATATGCTTTCTGCGATTCTGCATCCAGCTTCAGAAAACGTTTAAATGTATCAGGCAAATGCGTTATACATAATTGTACCACGCCATTAAATGCTAAACATAATTTTTGATAGATTTAATATACAATTATTTGAAAAATAATTAATGATTTAAGATAAAATAAAACAAAACTAACTTGCACTTCCTTCTATTTTATATTGCGTGATTGTATCTGATGATACTGTAACATTATTCAAAGCTGCATGAAAGGCCTCTATAACACATTTAATTGTATTAATTGATCTAAAAAGAATAATGCACGGTTATTACTTTGTTATTAATTCAATATAAAATAAACGAGAAAAAACTCACTTATCAGTTTGTATTTCTTGTTGCCAAGTTTTCAATAATTGCATAGTAATTTTTTTAGAGTTACTTTTGGTTTCTTCTAGTGAAAGATCGCTATCGTAGCTAGCAACCTGGATATTTAATATTATTAAAAAGTATATTTAAGTAATATTATTAAAAAAATACTTAAAATTATATTTATAAAAAACATACCTCTAGATTTTCATTAGAAATGTGCCCATCGTCCAAGTCTACTGAAGAATTATCATCATCGTCATCTGATACTCCAAAATCCAAAAGATTTTTATCATTTTCTTTCATATATTTGTAAAAATCAGGATCGGTATCTTGCAATTTCATTAATGAATTTTTATGTTCTGCAGGATTCAAGTTGCTTTCGCTATGATCGCTATCACTATAATTACTATCAAGCTGTTCGGTATCTTCATCTATGTAAAAGAATATCATAAAGTTGAAGTTGTACCTAAAATATCAAACAAATTCTAATATTTTGAATCACCTGTGTTTTCATCTGTTTCATCACTATCATATATATCACTATTTGCATCATTTTCGAAATCTTGTTCAAAGAACTCTTCCGTAGTTAATTTGCTCAAATTTATTTTCTTTTTTTTATTAACTGCTGTCTTTTTTTCTGATGACTTAAGAGGTCCTTGCTTCATTTTTTTCCTTTTCATTTTTAAGATAAGTAAACTTCTTTGATTAGCTCAATTAATCTAGGAAAAATTATTATAGATAAATATAGATTTTGAATACAGAATATGATTAGAATATGACCAACATGTGAGCGAGAGAGACAAGATATAAGCACGTGCATAACCTTTCTCACTTTTTTATTTTCAAGTAGTAACAATTATATATATAATAGAAGTTTTGCTCTTCTTACCTGTATTCTTTACTTTATTGAATTATTCACACATAAAAACATTAAATATACATTTATAAATTTATTTTGCAATTCAATTTTTCGACGCTTCATGCAATGTCAATAATGGTCGCGTTCAGCAGACTCAACTGTTGCGGAGCGGATCAATGGTCGCGTTCAGCAGACTCAACTGTTGCGGAGCGGATCAATGAGCTCTCGCTGCTATTGGATGATCTAAAAGAATACACCAATAGCAGTGAGCGCTCACGGATCCGCTCCACACAGTTGAGTCTGCTGAACGCGACCAATGTGATACGTAGTTCATCATTTTATAAAATTGATGTTGGTGTCGCTAGTGTACGGCAGTGAATTTTTAAACTCAGCCAAGATAAGTCACATACCTTCTAAAACTTTTAGAGTGAATTATTACACTCTGAAAAGTGAAATCTCACTCAGGATTGAAAATGGAGCCACTTTTATTCAAGACTGGCTTTATTTTTTTATAGAGTGAGATTCCACACCAAAGAATTTAGCGAATATGCATTCATCTAGTGTCGCGCATGCGCGGGAGTTTCCGGGTTCCGTAACCGGTGCAAAGCATGGTGGAAATACGTATTTCCACCATGTGTGCAAGGTACAAGTGGCACAATTAGGGAATTAGGCACGACGGCCGCGACTACGTCGACTACCGTCACTGGCCACTGTCACTGTGCGTGTGTCACAGACGTCACAGTGTGTGGAGTGTGGAGTCGCGCATCTAACTGATTCATGATTGATCGGATCGCGTTTATCTCCTCGCGTTGTTTCACGTTCCGCTAGCATTTCTAACCTCAAACCATGGGCGATTCCGAACAAGACCCGGGTGACCGAATCGATGGCGACAATCAGAAGAACGATAAGATGTTTACTCTGAAGAAATGGAACGCCGTGGCCATGTGGAGCTGGGACGTCGAGTGTGACACCTGTGCCATATGCAGAGTCCAAGTTATGGGTAAGCTGTTTTGGTTATGTTTTTGTCAACTCTGCACCGTTTCGCCCTTGGTTTCGCTTTCCCGCTATTTTATCCATTTCGCTCCGTTACGGAAAACGTTGCGTTACGTCAATCATATAATCACGCTGACATTCATACAGTAAGAATTAATTAATTTATATTTTTTATTCCAGAACAACAATAAAATGTGTTATTTATGTCCATTTCTACCAATGTAGATTTACTTTAATCTCGGTTTAACTTTTTGCTCTTCATCTTTTTCTAATTCTAAAAATTAGAAAAAAGTTAAATTGAGATTAAAGTTAATATATATTGTTAGAAAGGCATGTTATCATGTTATATCCCAATAATGCAAAATTTTTGTTGGCATTTTATGCCAATAATATACATACATAATATGTAAACAGAATATGATGACGCATCAGAAATCAACTAGAAATCAACCAGAATCTGTTATTTCCTAATCATAATGGAACATATAGATGAATGTATAATTAACTTTCATCTCGATTTAACCTATTGTTTATTTTTTCTAATTCTTAGACTTAAGAAAGACAAAGAGTTAAATCTAGATTATGATAAATTTACATTAGTAGAAACTTGGGTATAAGAAATTTATGTATAAGTAACACAATTTGCCGTTGTGCTTTTTAATAAAAAAATATCAATTAATTCTTACTACATGATCATGATTTATATTATTAACTCGCTAGAATTTACGATAAACACTTTACAAAATATGTTTTTGATACATTTGACTATGTGAGCTATTGTGCCTTACCTATTTATTTGTGATACAATGTCTTTGAGTGCGTCCTTTTTCACACAAAGTGTGCATGCTGTATCATTTTATCCTTCTTTAATATTTGGTGAACAACAAGGATAAAATGATACACGATATGCATTATGCATGAAACTGAATGCACTCTTCATAAACAACTTAAGTTATATCATTTTTTATAAATTCAAATGTGTGTATGACATCAACACGAGTTACAAAGAATCTCCATGTTATTATTTATTGTATAATGATTGTGAAATGCTTACTTTTGGTCGAGTCATATGAGATTATATTTATTTAAAAAAAACTGCTTTTTATTTAGATTTAATTTTTCAAGAACTTTTCTATTTTGATTTATGAATTTTTTCACTATATATCATGTGGCATTTTTATATATAAATTTTATTCTTATTTAATTGGTAATTGCTTTTATAATTACGCGTCTTTGTCTAATAGAAAAATTGAATAACATTGCTAATATAATATTATTATATAAAAATATTAAAAGGGAAGGATAAAAAATTGAAGTAACAGTTTTACATAAATCTATCATTTTATATATATATCTGTAGATAGTCTTAAAATTATACCACATAATAACTTATAAATTATTCGTAAACTTAACATGAGTATTAAATTATCAAAAATATTCCGCCATCTTCATTGTGCTTTGGCAAATAGTTTATGAATAAGCGGCAGGTATTACTTACAGTAGCAACAAATATAAACAGTAAATATAAGAAACAAAGAAATGCCATGATTGGTCGTTGTACTACGAAGGAGAGTAATAACGTACTCAACTCTCATATAAAACAAGATATTGTGCACTTATTGCTTTACATGATATCAAAGTGAGTTGTACATTGAACTTCGCACAATCGCAAAGGAATGGTCTTTTGTTCGAACGTTTATTTTCACAATTTCAAAATGAGACTTCGCCATGGATTTTGTTCGAGCGGTACTTTTACGCGAATGTTAAAATAAGATTTCGCGTGCTGCAAATGACATCTATTGTGTGATATTAATTGTAAAACGTTCCAATGTTCACTGCCACAGTGCTGCAAAATCTATAGTGCACATAACGTATACTAGAAAAGAACGATTTTACTAAAGTATCTAAAAATGTATCTAGAAAAAAATCTGAAAATAATTTTGTTGAGCTATTAAAATAATTACATATAGATATTTCAAGCATTATAAGTAATTTTGCAAAAAGTTTTATCATTCTAGTCAACCAATTTGAGCATCTTACATAATTATTTTAATTGCCCAACAAAATTATTTTCAGATCTGTATTTAATTAAATTTTTAAATACTTTAGCAAAAACCGTTCTTGCCGTATAGATTTTCAGTATTGGTTATGAATATCGGAACGCAACCTAGAAATGTGAGAGAGAAAAGAAACTACGAGAAACCGCATAACATTTTATCGTTCTTACATTTCTACCTATCAAACAAGATTCTCTACTAATGGAATCTTTCTATTCGGACGCACGCAACTACAAGCACACTCTGATAAACTTCTAAAATCGTATACTTGGTTTTTAACGTTTTCCAACGTATTTGTCAGTTGTCGATTATGATATGCATTTAGTTTGCACCGTGCCAAACATATTGCGAATGCACCCGGTCACATGCAGTAATTCGGAATAAACAATAAAACTTACATATTTACATTAGCTATAAGTTGTTAAATATTTCATTTCATACAGGCAATGCGAACGCTTAAAAGACATCGCAAAATACAATGCTGATGTTTTTCGAACAGTTTTTTATAGATATCCTCTAGAAATAAATTTCTTAATCAATTTTGATTTATTTAATTTTTAAATATATCTTCCTTTATGAAAAATAGATTTTTTAATGTGTACATAATTCTCTTTTTTACAATCTCAGGCGATAAATTGTTGATAACAAATATATACAAATATGTATCAATAATTTATGTAAAATATACAAATAATGTATTCCTCTATATAATATAATATCTCTCATAATAATTTACCAGCGAATTGTTCTCTATTAAATTACTTGACCGAGAACACTCGTCAGATGCTCGACGCAGCTTTACCCTAACTTTCGAACATAGGCGACTCGACTATATTACATTTGTCTGTTTTCCTCCAGCGTTACGTATTCTTACTAACTTCCTAAGCACTGTTTTCCATTTGATGACACAAATCGACACAAGCGTCGTTCTATCCTTCTTGGACATTCAGAGAGTGACAAAGATAGAACGATACTTGTGTCTCTTAAAAGGAAAGCAGCCAAGAACTTCATCTCGAGTTTATAACTACGCTTCCACTTTTCGTAATTCTTCGCTTTAAAAATATATATCTGCTATGTATTATAACGCTTAAATTATCGTACGTACATTTAAAATCACATCTCACATTGATGCAGCCGTCCGATATCAAGCATCATTAGTTTAATACGAAGATTACGATCATACTGGCTGCTGGAATCATATCGTTCCACTTACGATCAATTTTTTCAATGCTGATTAACTACAATCATAGCTCAGTTTTCATTCTTCCTCTCTATCTTTTTCTAAATTTAATCTAAAAATAAGAAAGAGGCAATAGAAAAATAATTGTTTAGTTACGACTGAAATTAACAACAATTTTTCTTGGACGTAGATAATATCACTATGGCGTGTAAATCTCTTCGACTATTTACAATTCGTAATTACTGTGACGAGAACGCGATTGATTAAACGTTATTGTCGCACGGGAAATTCGCCTCTGTTCGAAAGACCGGTTTCTTGGTCGGCATATAATGTGTGTATGTATATAGGTATATACATATGGTATATACATACATACATATAAAAATACACACATGTTACGCGTGCTTTTAATTCAAATTCAAGGTGCACGTGACGATTAATCGTATCACACAGAACCTATGCGATACCACAGCCCCACGCAAATTACGCTATAAAAAAAGAAACGCGTGCTCGCGCGCGACTAGCGTTGACCTACGCGTACATCTCTAACGACAGTATTATCTGCTATACTCTAATAGAGCAGTATTAACTTGAGGTAGGCCCTGTAGGACTGTCGGGAATAATAAGAACAATTGCAACTACACACCTAGTCAACAGCTGATAGTCACATATTTTGCCATTTCCCCGGTGGGAAAGCGTAACACATTTATATTCCACGAAGCTACTTAATTGGCCTCGCAATTTGGGTTCTCGACAAGATTGGCACTAACTTGTTAGGTCTGATCCTCGTATTGGATAGGAATATGGTTAAAGCGAAATCTGCCGAAGTTTCACGAGGCTAATTGAAGAAGCGAATGAACGAAGACAATGTGTTTTTTCTTATATCGTAAGATTCTGTTTAAAAGTACAGTCGAGGAATTATCTTAACTAACTTTTTTAAAATAGATCTTTTAATAATCTCTATTGCACTAAATTTTTCAATTGATAGAACTTTTCACCCAATTGCCTCTTCAACTTGTTTAAAGAGATGTGAATCTTATGAGAAGCACTTTTGTTCGCGTATTTATACATACTATTCAGATCTACGACCGATTTCCATCTTTTATCGATTATTTCCGAATCGCTCTCGCTCTAACTTCGTTATAACAAATATATCTCGCGAAAGGGAGCCGAAGATTTTAGAAATAAGAGTAAAGTAGGAAAAGCCAAGAAAAAAGAACAGACGCTTCTCTTTACACAGAAGAGAGAAGTATAACCTTCGAACCTGAACTTCCCTTCGAACTTCCCTTTAAGGGAAGCATATCTGTAAGGGAATCTTTCCTTTAGAAGGACATCGTAAGGAATCCTATTTTTTATTCGAACGAGTTTCTTCATCGCGAGTCGCGATCGGAAGTTCAGCAGCTAGCACGACATCGGCGTCGGTTTCATATTGGCGACTGCGCTCATCCTTCTAGTTGGACCTGTGAACCTCTTTTCGATCTCCTCGAGCGACCTGCCGCGGGTCTCCGGCACACTGACGATCACGAAGACAAAGCCCACCACGACGATTATGCCGAACATCCAGAAGGTGCCGTGCGCACCGATCACTCCTATGACATCCTCGAAGGTCTTCGTTACGATGAAGGTGCACATCCAGTTGAAGGCGGTCGCGATGCTCGCGGCGGAGCCACGGATCTTGGCGGGCAGGATCTCACCCATCATCAGCCAAGGAATAGGCCCGAAACCCAGTGAGAAACCTATCACATACACGATCAAACTGACCAGTGGCAGCCAGCCGAAGGCCGTCACGTCCACACCCATTGACTTCACGTAGAAAAATCCGCCAAGGGAGAAGAGGGTTAGAATCATCAGTATGGCGCTTATGTACAGTAGCATCTTCCTGCCCAGCTTGTCGATCACAGACGCGGCGACGAAGGTGGATATGAAATTCACTATTCCAATGATTATGGTCGAGATGTTCTCATCGATTGTGCTACCAGCGTCCTGAAAAAAAATGTTCGTTGATTATTATATGTCGGTATTATATTTCTCAAAATTAAAAAATTTATTTGGCATCTATTTCGTGCATTAGTTCATCATTTTATTTTCATGATTTGATTAGAGAATTATGTATTTAAAAATTACTGAAATATTGGACTCACGAATCAGTAGAGAAAGGTAACTGATTAATATAATACGTACTTGGAATATTTGCACCGTATAGAATATCACCGCGTTGATGCCAGACATTTGTTGGAACAGCATTAGACCCAAAGAAATGAGGAGAGGTCTGAGGTTTTTACTCTTCAGCAATTCCGAGATTATACTTTGGGAAGTATTTCGCTCACTGTCGAGGTATTCCTGATGTAATTTCTCGATCATAGTCAATTCGTCCGTTATGTCTGTGTCTTTACCGCGCAACCATTGAAGAGATTTTCGGGACATCTTTGTCTTCCCCTTGGAAATGTACCATCTTGGCGTTTCCGGAATTATGAACATCAAAATCAAGAATGGTAGTGGTAAACTCGCCCCTACCAGCGCCAGATTTCTCCAATCCAGATACATACCCGCTACGAAGCATAGTAATATTCCTGCACATTGAATATGAAACCTTTATGAATTTGTGGGACATACTTTATAAATATATTTATTTTTATAATTAAATAACATTTCCAAGTTTAATGTCATATTAGCAACGAACATACACATATATAAATCGATAGCATAAGAGGTTAACTCTTTTATTTCACTTACCGGAGTTACCAAAAACGGTAGGCATTAAACCAAGAGTACCACGCACTTCTGTCTGTATCGTTTCGCCTAAGTACACAGGTAACGCTAAAGAAGCAACGCCTACGGCAAAACCGCATAACGCACGCCCAGCCAATACCATCGGAATATTTTGAGCCATCGCGATTAAGAGCCATGCTGTAACAAGTATCACATCGTCATATAATACAATCTACTATTTACATGGAATAGTATTCAAGATATAAGGGAGAAACGACGATGTAACTAATTTAAATAATTGATGGTAGATAGTGATGACGATCTGTAACGTTATTTACTACGATAGTTCATTATACGTATATATGTTTCAATACATTATCTCGTTACATAAAGGTTTTTTAATGCTATGTATGCTTCAATAATCTTACCTCCGATAAATGGAAACGCAGTAGAAAGTATTGTCTTTTTCCTTCCTATATATTCGATGAGCGGTCCTCCAGCGATACCACCGACAAGTGCACTCAATGGCATAAGTGACCCAATCCACATGCTCTGTGACATAAAAAAATTTGGAGTGATATATATATATATATATAATCTATAAAATTTCACAATTAAGTTTAAAACAGATTTTTCTGAGACATTATCATTTATTGCAAGTTTCTAATTGTCAATTAATTAATCAACTATCAAATAGAATGTCTAAAGTTACTTGAAATTAATTGCACAATATTCTTCATATACATACAAGTGATATTAAAAATTTAATAAATTTCTGCCCGAATGTATCATATAATATCTTAAACTTTTAATATATAATTTAAATTTTTTTTTAAAGACATTTCGTGTATTTTGTGTTATGGTTAAAATTTGTTATTGCTATGTACAGAAGCGATTCGAGATTGTAAAAGATTTAGATCGATTATACAATATATTATGCTACGCATATTGACAATCCTCGATCGTTTAAATTCATCGTTCGAATAACAGCCGTGTACTAAAGCATAGTTTTATTCGTCGTAGATCCTTCGAATACAAATAAGGTCGAGAAGCCGCAAAATGTCAAGGAAAACAATTGCGAAGGGCAACCATTTTGGTTGCTCATCCGTTGTCGTGTGTTTTAATTAAGTTACCGCAACGCAGAAACGAGTTACGAAATCTTTATTACAACTGAGATCACTAAACGCAGAATAATTGTTATAATAATTGCTATTACAAAATTAGTTGGTAGTGATTTTAATGTAATAGACTCTTTAATAAAATATAATTTTTTAATTAATGATTAGAATATTTCAAATATAATATTTATATTATTTATTTAATTTACAAAAATAAAATATATATATTTAGAAATATATTATTATGATGATATAATAATATTGCAAAAATAAATTCGTACAATCAGTAGTTACGCTTTCCTATTTTTATCAATAAAGACAAAAGTATATTCTATACTGAAGATTAAAAATAAATTTACTTAAATTTTGGTATATCATCGCATAAAGAGTGTATTAATTAAAACATTTCACTTAGAATAATCTTAATATAAACGAATAATTTTTATGATAGGAAAAAGTAATAATTTTCAAATACAATATGTATATAGCTCTTTAAACAATTAATAATTATATTTTGGCATGTTAAAAAAATATTAAATGTAATAACATATATATATTGTTGCTTTTCACTCTCAAATTTATTAAAGCGGCTTCCCAAAACGAATATCCTGCATGACGGCTTGTGCGAGGCTCACTTTTGAATGCGGAAGCATCTTATTCACGCTCGCTTGCATATCTGGAATCAATTTCCGATATCGTCACGATTTGAGGCCTTATGACGAAGTCGGCGTGTCCGGCGAGATGACCAATCGCGTTCTCGGCCACTGGGGCACAACGGCTCCTTCGCCAATGCGATTACAATCAGGTCATCGTGCCCCTGACCAGGCACCAATGACGCACTTGAGGTTAAACCTTTTAATTATCCATTGACCCTTTGAATAACGAAGGTCGTACCTTTTCATACGCATGCGTAGATCGCGATAATTTATAAGTGACGCGTTTACATCGTTTGTCATCAGCGCTTAACTTCGGCTTCCACTTTGTATTGATCCGCAACGCGTCGCCGATAAACAATTCCGTCGGACTTTTCCTTGACATCATAAATTTAATTAAAATGTCTTTAAACGGACACAGAAACGTATACTATTGCAATATCTGTTTGCGATGCAGAAATAAAGAAAATGATGTCGTGAATATCAGTTTGGCATTCTCTGGTAATTTCATATAAAAGATTCATATAAAATAGTAAAATTAGTCTTTAAAAATAATATTCATAGATATAAAACGCAGCTACAAATTAAAATACAAATCAAATAAAAATATCAAACGATTCTGAAAAAAAACTTCTTGATTCCGCAAAAAATACAATGAGTCACGAGTAGTTATCCAAGTTATTCTTACGCTACCGCTAAACGGTTAACATATGTAATTGGCAATTTAAATGTTCAAGAAACCGTGTCCGATTCTCACAATCTTCCACTTCCGACAAAATTGGATTTGTATGATTTCATGGTCATGTGTTCTCAGATTGCAACTTTATTTTGAATACTTTTATAAATACGTTCATCGGAAATCGCTTCTCTACGTAGCTTTTGCAAACTTAGCGAATTCTGTAAATACACGGATGTAAAGCACATGCCTAATAAAATGCGCGATTTGTCTTTCTGTACAATAAATGTTTAACGCGTAGAAGTTAAGGATAGAGCGGATTATATTAAAAAATATCAGTTACTGGACTTACCATCTGTTTGGTGACTTCGAAGCTCGCTGTAGCGTTATCACGCATGGACACCAGCGCTGGCGATGTATAGGAAGACGAATAGCCGACTTGCATCGAACCCAACGACACCGATAATGCAGCTAATATCTGCAAACAGATTACAAACTGCATGAAAAATGTACGAAGGTCTGAACGTGAACTTTGACTCTTTAGGCGCACCTACTTACAAATTAAAAATCTCTTTAAATCTTAATCGAAGACTAATGGGTCAATTCTAAGTAGAATCGTAAGGCTCGTAACTTGTTCTTATATAAAGACTTATAGAACTTATGACCTGAGTTGTAATTTTATGCGTTATACAACAAGATGTACGGTTATTCGTAAATATCTATGATTTCTCGTAAATCTTACGACTAGTAAGAAGCTGTTTGTAAAGATACCGATAAATTTATAAGCATTTCAGTCATAAGTTCTTACAAGTCTTACGAGAACAAAGTATTCCAAATATTCAATCGGTAAGGTGGATTATCAATAGATACTGGAGTAAATGCAATTTTAAATCTGTCACGCAGAAAAGAAATATAGAAATTGCGAGAATATTTATATATTTTTATGTCTCGTCGAGTATATTTCCTTCGCACGCAATTTTTGTGTATATAGAATCTATTTTAAAATAGCAAAGAGTCGAGATCGATGCAATAATTTAATTGGTATTCGATCAATTGCACGATTTGCGTCATAGAAATCATGCCGAAAAAGATTGCGACATTCACGTAGAAAATTCTGTTACTTTCGCAATCCTTGCATATTCAAATATGACTTATGGTATTCAAATATGATTTATAGTACACAAAATCTTAAGTATGATCAATAAAAATCATAGTGCAATCAGCGAAGAAGTTATTCTTCTTGGAACAAAGTAAAAAATACTGATTGAATTAATTCAACTGTATATTATAGTTGCACAGTTTTCGAAAAAAATAATATTTTTTCAAGATTATTATAATTTAATTTTAGAAGAGAGATCTCTCTCTCTCTCTCTAAAACTAAAATGATCTTAATAATTAGTATCATTAAATAGATAATTACATAAATTCTGATATTAAACATAACATTTATCAATTTTGGTCCAAGGATTTACATCAAGATTATGTTTCTTCAAAATTATATATTTTTTACTGGCTTTTATATAGGAAATAGTTATATCTATTCAGTTAATCTACAACATGATCTGTTTGTTATCTTATGTTAAAACACATTTTTCTCACTTTTATTCATTATTTTTACTGATCATTACAACTTTTACGAAATACCTGTTGTTAACTTCAAACAAATTCAAGAAATTTCTAAAGAATACAACAAAGAAAAATTTCGGTTAACTTTTTACCTGGGTGATCGTGCATTTTGCTGTAGGCGTGTTTACCGGCAAATCGATGTTTACATGAGTGTCCGCTCGCAGAAGAAGTTTCATGATTGCGGATAAATCGAGGAACCTATTATGACACTATTTTGTAATCCCGATTGCAAACACGATTTTCCGATTAATGAAACTTCGGTACCAATCTAACGAATCGTTTATGTGATGAAACAAACAGCATTGTTCTCCAATTACACATCAAGACCACTACAATTGTGTTTTGCGATGGGAACCAGAATCGTAAAATATTGAAAATTTCCAGATTGTTCTGGATATTATTCGAATACCAATAGGATAAACTGACAATAAGCGGATTTATTCTGATTAGAGACTCTCTAATTCTAATAAAAAATCTGTCCGAATTATGGAGAACATCGTCACTGCTTGTTTCGTCGAGTAACAATGGTAGATCGATTCTGAAAGTCTGTAACACGAAAACTCGCGTTTTTATATCGAGATTGTAAATCTAGGTGTCTCGGCAAACGTGATTGTAAAAGAAACCGAGTTTTAATCCTTCGAGAGTCCCAAATCGTGTTCGAGACGAGAAATGAGAACTCACTCCTATATCGCAGATCGGATACCAATTGATTTGGTTGAATTGATAATAAAAAAAAATGGATATTGATCGCACACTGATGTGAGTAGAAGTTTTCGATGTCACAGTATAATACGAACTATTGACACTTGTGGACCGCGACGGGTGATTTTATATAAAGAGCAATGCTGGAGGCTGGCCATCCCTTCCCCTCGCAAGTCATGTCGTTGAAAACTTGGTAGATTACTACTCCCATATCAGATGATCGCAGATACGTCAATTTGATAAGACGCCTTCGTTTCACGTCTTCGTTTCGCGTCTTCGAGACGACACGTGATTCAAATTTCGAGCGAGGAGATGAAGAGGAGTATATGTAGATTTTTCTGAAGTAATTTCAAAATGTGATGAAACTCTCATTCAATATAAAAATCATAGACCATAGCGTCTTTAAAGCAACTTTTTTGTTTTTATACTGTCTTTTTTTTGAAAATATATTTCATTCATGATGTAAGAAAACAACTAATCGAATTTGGGTCCAAATACATTATCGAAATTCGAGAAATATTTTTGTGGAGACACCTAAATCGTTATAATTATTTCGAAATAGATATGCAATACAATAAGCGATCTATATAAATGTAATTTTTTCTAGAATTTCACGAATTGTAATTTTTTTTACATGGACATGCCATTTTTTCTGACATTTCGCAGTCATATTGTTTTTCGATATTTAGGCTCAAATTTGATTGGCTGCCTACTGCGCATTCACGGAAATGTTACCTCCGTCTTGTTACATCATTTACGTATTTTCTGTATTTTTATTCTTCTTGAAAAATTTTACACCCTTTCAAATTTAAAATAGAAGCGACAATAATGCAAGTCACAAATGTCGGTGGATTTCAAAAATACTAAGATATCTAAATTATTTAACCATTTGAAATATTCAACGAAAAGTATCATAGAATAACTACAAAAATTATTATTAGAGACAAGTATGAGAATTCATAAATACATATTCGTATTCACACCTCACTTTTACTATAAATATGCACATTTATTTCTGATTTTATAGTATATGTAATGTAAACTATATATATGTTAAGTGCATTTATCGATAAGGATAAATATAAATAATTAAATATAAATCATCGAGAGAGAGAGAGAGAAAGAATCCCTTTATGTACTTAACATAGTATATAATCTTTGTTTATATATACTATATTCTTTTGATATATTGTGTTTGCTGTATCAATAAAGACTAGACATACATAGTATATAATCTCTGTTTATATATACTGTATTCTTTTGATATATTGTGTTTGTTGTATCAATAACGACTAGACTGATGATAATAAAGAGTTTGTTAATACAGCATACATTGTGTATACTGTATCAATAAAGAGTTAAGTATTTTATTATTCACTCAATCAGCTCGCTACTTAATGCAATAACAAGAACATTATTCTAAGTGTGTCTATCAATTCGACAATTAATATCAAAAAGGGGTTATTCATTGTTTTTCTATTTCTGTTATGTCGATTAGGATAGCGAGAAAAGAATTGCATTAGCATTTTCGTAATTGTTGAAATATTTTTTCGTTAATATATTAAGATGTACGATATGTTTATTATATGTAGGACGTTCCTCGTTAAACACATATAATTTTTATATTTCGAATTTTTTAATTATTTTTTTCATCATTCTCATGATGCGCTGTAATAATTGTTTCGCTTAATACCTAAATTTTAATGACCTGATGCAAATTTAAAATTGACATCTATAGAACATTTATTAATGAATTCCTCAATTTTCCAATTTCACAAGTAAATGTCGATCCGTAATCATTTTTGCTTCTGTCTACACAGAAAATTATTTTCCTTTTAATTTGTTATATTTCGTTTCACGTGTAAATTTAAATGTACCATGTTATTTCGCGATTATTAATTATTATAATTAATGCTGATATACAATATTTGTATCCATCATTGTTATTAAATTTTAGCAAGAAAACCTGATGAATATAGCAAATAATTACAGCTACAGTTACTTTTAATATATGCACAGCGGGAATTGTTTCGTTCATGAACAATCGTTCATGTAATGAACGATTGTTCATGTAATGAAAGTTGATTTTTTGTTCATTGCTTCATGGTGTAGAACACTGTTTTATTAGATAAATGGAGGTATTTTTTCATACGTTGCCTTTTTGTTTGACTGTATGAATATTAAATTAGTTATACGAATATGTAAATATAAATACGTGAATAAATACGTAAATAAATACATTCTAATACATGCAAAGATACAATATAAAAACACAATGGCTATAATTCTAAGGATATGATTTAAGGACATGAAATGTTCCGAGACTTGGATATTGAGGAATTCTAGCTTTCGCGCAGATCTGCTGATAATATTGTATGAATGTCATAGCTAATGAATTATTATTGCACCATGTATTTTCGCATTTTTTTTCTACGTAGATTTTCATCTATTTTTAATTATGAACACAATTCATGTAAATAAATTTATCTTTCGCGTAATACAAAATAATATAACAATTGAGAAATTCTGACGGCGACCATAGTGCCATCGGCTATGAATGTCAATGGCAATCTCAAGGAAAGTGTAGTATTCAACGTTATACAAGGTTGCGATATTCGTTACAGGGTTACGTCTGCTTTTCATTCATCCTTTCTTGTTCTCGCACAATTATGCCGATCATTTCGATTGCCTAATAGACGGCGCGCAATGATTAAACTGTACTCATATAATAGAACAAAATGTTTAATGCCTAAACGTTCCAATTCATGTATGAATACTTTATTAGTTTCACTACAACAATACTTTATTAGTTTCACTACTACAAAAATTATTCCGACTTCGTATAAATATTTTTGAAAAAATGCTTTGAGTTTTTAGTATTAAATCTTTAATATATGAATATAAAAATTCAACATAAACGCGAATAGATACAATTTCATTAACTAATAAGAGACTTTTGCGTAATATAAATATAACAAGTAATATGTTTTGCTTATTTATTTCAATATTAATTATTAAATAATAATTTGTTAACTACTTTACGATTTATTACGAAATAAAAATGATATGCAGTGTATTGTGAAGTAACTTTTATATAAACAAGTAATTTTCACATAAAGATGTGACTTTTTTAGTTTCTTAAAATTACAATTTTTATACGAAGAATATTACATAATTTCTATAAATGTTGTAACGTTGTAAATTTCATGAAGTACGCAAAGGGAAAGGATGACGCATCGTCGTCCGACCGCACATGTGGTCATACTACTGTATGTCGCGCGAGTCCTTAAGGATGTATTTGAGTCATTTTTACAAATGTGTTAATATTTATATTTTAAACAAACTATGTACATACACTGAAAAAAAAATTTCTAAATCTTAGTAATTTTTTTTTAATAGTTCGAAGTAAACATTTTTTTATTATAAGTAAATGTTCATTTTTATTATATGTGTAAATAAAGACAATTTGGATAAAACGAAATAATGAAATCGCTTTAAAACACTTTTAAAAATAGGTCAAAGCTATCCTTCCCCTTTTGATAATCAGTAAATAGTCGTAAAAGGCACGTGAAAGTGAACAGCTACGCACGTGAAAGTGAACAGCTACACATACGTATTGAGTAAACGGACTTCACGTGTCTTTTACCATTTTTTATGACTATGTACGGACTGTCAGGGAGGATAAGGATAGCTTCCATCTAATTTGACATGTGTTTTAAAGCGATGTCATAATTTCGTTTTATTTAAATTGTCTTTATTTACAAACGACATAAAACAAAAATTAACGTATCATTTCTCGCTTGTGACATCACGATTCAATATGGCCGCGGCGACTACTTAGAAGTCTTAAATCCAGCAATTTATTCTCGAAAACGTGACTTCTAACAATAAAGAAGGAAGGAAGATCTTCAATCAGTAAACATGAATATTTCAATCAATTATCATTTCATGATAATTGGATGTATTGTATTATTCTAACCGCAACTTAACCGCACTGGACGATTTGTGAAATACACAGTAATGAAATACACTTGCCTCCATATATAGGCAACATTACATGCACATATTATGCGTGAGGAACACACGTGCCAGTTTCTTCATAAATTATTATTTGCAAGTATTGCTTATGAGATTGTTTTTGAACGTGTGATTCGTAAGGGCGAGAACATAAAATCCTGCATAATGCATAAAAAAATTAACCAATCAGAGAGAGAGTCCTTCATTTCCTTCCTTTTGAAATAAAGAACTATTTGATTTTCTTATGCTTTATATGTTATGCAAAGGTCTATGCTGCGGCCTTAATTTTTTATTTTCATTAATTGAAGTTACCCATATTGATAATATCCTGGCTTACCGATTGAAATTCACATCTCAAAACAGAGCTCCCAGAGTAAGCGGTGCTATATTATTGATCTGATTAGCCGCAATTATTCTTAATTTTATTTTTATTAATTTATCAATAAAAGAAAAATTGTACATTTTTTCATTTTAAAATATAATCTATTTTGAATTGCTCAAAGAATCTAATATTGCAAAGAATTCCATATAAATCTATGAAACATGTATAATAACTTACCTGGGCGGCAAATCGTAACCATGATGGTTTGGGTTCCCTAATGAATTCTGAGGACGGCAATCGGATGGGTTCCTGCAACTCCTTTGGTACTCTCACGTCCGGGGGATCCATGAGGATGGTGATGCTTGAACTTTGTTCGCTCGGTAGTAATGGATCTAGCTGTTTGTAATCGACGTCTTGCGTTTTGTTGAGCGGATCGTAGATCCGCGACCTGTTTAAAGCCTTTTGATGATTGTTCCTCAAGTTCTCGGCATAGTAGTGATTGGATCCCTTGCCAGCGTCGCCGGAGAAGTATCTCTTCTCGGTGATAAGGGCGGTCTGGCTGTTGAAAGGACTGGTATTTGTCACGAGGATGGTGTTCGACGAACAGTCTAGGGTGGACCCAGAACTGGACGGCGAAGGTCTGATGACCGGGGAAACCCTCGGATATTTGGGTAAAACGCTGCGCTCCTGAAATATAGAATTATGGTTTGTTTTAATGATTTATCGGTTGAAGTCTGCATTTGTAAAATTGTGATGAGAGATAGATGGACGTTATCAAAATGATCAAATGGAAGAGAATATTGACAGAAGAGAATATTGTTAGAACTTTTCTAACAAAAAAAACATGGACAGAACTTTTCTAAGAAGAAAGTATGAACGACAAATAGGATCTTATTTAATACAGGACACGAAATTTGCTATTTTTGTTTAATATGAGAAAATAAAATTATAATAAAATTGTTATACTGATGGCGATCAGATAAATGTAAGATTTTTCTACTTATATTTCAATTTCAATAAAATATATTTAAAACGTATTTTACAAAAATGAATGAAAATGTACGAGTTGAAACTGGAGATAACTGCTAGAGAGAAGTCAAACTGGATGTTACCAGACTTCGACTGTTCTTCTTTGCGATAAAGTTTCACACATAGTAAACAGTTTATATTATAAAAAATATATTTTCAATCGAATTAATTCAAGTGTTATTATAAAAAAAAAACCTATACTTTTTAAAACATCAGAAAATATCAGATTTTTCTTTTTTTGAAATATATCATATTTCGAAAATATCGAATACATTTAAGTTACATATTATTTTTAATTTTCTAATATGAATTTAATAATAAAAAATTGCAAAAAAATCTTTTCGTATTTCTAACATGTTTTATCTTTCACGACACATTTATTTGTCTGTGACACAGAAATCACTTGGAAATTTCTAAAATCACCGATTACTTTCGCAAGAGGATGATAATAAGCATGAAATCTGCTCTAAAATAAGATACAACGTATTCATGAAAACTGTACACCAAGATCACCGAATGTAAAATGACAAGAAGATATAAGAACTGCAAGAAGAAAGCAAGTAAAATGAACAAAATCGCGTTACCGATCACCGAAAAACAAACGTCCGTTTAATCGCTTAGCTGTTCACTCGAAGGTATGAAACATCAAAGTTGGACTATTTATACTGTTTTCAAGAATCACTTTATCAAGAATTGCTGTGAAAATATGCTAATAGAGAGGGAGCCGAATCATACATTGTGAGAAAAAAGAGGGTGAATAACGCCAGCATAAGCAGGCAGAGCAAGCGAGAATGAGAAAGAAAGGAAAAAAGAATATGATTATCGAATGAACCAATGACGAAAAGCCAGTGGTAAAGAACCAAGTGATGATGCCGGGTCGGAGATTAGATGACTTTTTTACCCCTGAGTGATAACCCGTGTTGAACTTCATTACTAACAACGAGTACAGTGTATTTGCGAATATTTCTCATGTTGACGTAAAGCATTACATGATAGGGCGGTTATCCTATTTGATCCTAAAGCCAAAATCTCGTGATTATCACATTCTAGAATGAACAGTCTTATGTAATAAATAATCGAGCATCTATCTAAGAAACCGACGATGTCAAGAGAGAGAACGTACATATGTTCTTGTTAATTGAATATAGTATTTTTGATATATTCCATTTACGATGTTATTTGTTCTCCGCTTTTATATACTTGTCTCTTTTAAATGGTTAGCACAATATGGTGGACTTGAACTTTTATTTTTTTAATACGAAAATCACCTTTCATCCAAAATGAATGGTAGCGAAGGTTTTTATATTGATCTAACGATAGTCGAATCATTGGAGCGATTGAAATTAGTTGAGACATACTTAAATGTAACGTCTCGCTTTCAACGGGACAATCTCGGTTTATTTCGTTGTCCCGCTAAACATGTCAAAATATGAGAGAGAGAGAGAGAGAGAGAGAATAATATTATTAAAAAAAAAATAAATTATTTATATTTATATTACATACAGTCTTCTTCATCCCCCGAAAGTTGTTTCGCTTTAAATCCGAAAATATCTGGTCACATTAGATATATAATATTTAAAGAGAGCTTTCTAATAAATCAGGAATATTTGTTGATTTATAATTTTTGTGTATTTCTTACGAATATTTAAAGAGAAAGACAGACGGCCAAAAAATATTATAACGCATAAACTGCTTTCTGTGAAAAAGAGAGGCAAGTTATTAGAATAAAGAACAATAAGTATAATTCACAAGGCGTTAGGAGTCGGCGCTGAACAATATTGCTCAAGAATATATGTATAATATACAATAATATAAAAATAAATAAGTTTAATTATTTTTGAACGTTTTGGCTCCGTTTTGAGCCATCTTCAGTCAGCAGGAAAACATTATCGCAAAAATATAAAGCTGAATTATGAATCGCAGTCGTATTTCGAGCGTTTCCAATGCAAGTTGTGCAGACCATGCAGTGAGATGCGACCATCCTTAACGTTATCAAATGTTGTACACAACAGTTTCATGTTTGAGTGGTAGTGGATTGCCGATTTTAAAACTGTTATCAAGAGAAAAGAATTTGTCGTGTATAGAAAAACGATGTAAATTACGATTTTAAATAAAAGAGTTGCTCGTAGCCAACAACAACCTGTACAATGAACAAGAATTCGTCAATAAGATGATACAGAAAAATATAATACGTATTAAGTAATCGTCAAACATTAAAATTAAAACAATTTATCGACAACGAAATTGCCATGTAAAATGGTCAAAATGTGACTGCTTAGTATACTCTCTAAATCTGAATCGGGGTGGATAATCACTGATATCAGTGCCAAGTATGCCACTAGTAATCAGTGAATTAAATGTGAGATTCCTAACCTAGCTAATCTTTATTATGTGATCTAACTAACCTTGTTTTAGTGCTTAAATTCAATGAATATGATATTGGAAGATTGAAATTGACGTGCAAATATCAGTATTTTAGTTATACAATGCTCAAACATTCTTTCTTTTTTAGTTGAACTTCACTGATTATCAGTGCCAAGTATGCCACTGAGTAATTAGTGACTATCCACTGATTCAGATTTAGAAAGTAACGAACAAAGGAATCAGAAAGTACATAACGGTCAACTCGAAAAACAATAAACAATGATGTTAACTTATTAAGTATTTCTATGTAAGCGTGATTTAAAACTTCTATATCAGTTTGCATATACTGTCCATTAGGTTGACAATTAATGTGAAGTATTTCAGACATAAGTTGTTTGTTGTAAGTCTTCTCTATATCCAAAATTTTAACATTTTCCTAATTGAATTCATGACCACAATGCATCCTATGATCTGTAATTACCGAACGTATGATAGTCAAGTATTCTTATATCATCTCTGTTTTCTATATTTTAATTATATTGTGCTGTACTAAGCAAAAAATTTAGTATTTAAGCGATTTTGGAATTTGTGTTACACAGTAACTCCGATTCTAAATGATGATATTATTTGAGCAGAATTATTTTTAATTTTAGATTTTATGATTTCTTAACTTGATAAAAAGAAATCTCTAAATTTAATTCTTTTATTATTTTGTAAAATATCAGTAAAGTTTAACTATTAATTTTCTGTCCGTAATATCACAGAATAATCCTATATTTGATAGATCATAAAAATATTTAAGTCGATTAAAATTATCTATACAGTACTTTTAATATATTTTTAAAGAAATTAAAATGAAGTCACTGCAATGGTTTCTATTTTTTGTCTCAGCATCGAATTTACGCATTCTTAAAAATATATTATAAATGTTTGAGTATAATGTAAAATTAATCGATTTATTTAATGATTTTTACAATTTTTTCTCTTTTCTCTCTCTTTCTCTCCTTGCTGTTTCTACATTTAATTGTACTTCTCGTTGTACTCGTATCAAGTAAAGAAACACGTTACTCACAATTACAGGTCTTTGTCATTTTCCATCGAAATTTTGATGTAATTTCTAATAAGACCTCGTTTTAGCATGTTCTATCAGCGGTATAATACTGAAAATAAATCAGTGCGATAAAATCATTAAGTAGATACTCGAAATGTTGATTTGTGTTCCTTCTATCCAGAAAAAAGGCGTTATTAAATTTTACAATCCGTTCATCTTGAAAGCTGAACATTAAAGCGGAACGTTGCATCGTACAACAATCAACCAGATATAAAAATTGCCCTAGAAGCGAGCTCTTGTCCAATTCAGCGTGAAGCATGATTATTCTTTGTATGAATGTGTAATGTAACGCTTCCATTACATTGGGGTATAGCTATTGTGTCGAAAAATCGTCTGTTTATCTTGCGGTTATCACGTGTCTCTTACATGCGAGGTAAAGTTCACATATATACGATATGAACTCTGGCGGAGAAAAACGAAATGTTTGACGTAGTTGTCGGCTTGCTCTTTGGAATTCATTTCTGTGTGCTCTTGTATATAAAAAAATTCTAATATCATTTTACGAAATTTACGTTTATTATCAATTTACGAAAAAATATACGCCAATCACATATCGCCTGTAATTACGTATAATTTAATAGTTTACAATATCGCATTGTTTAGACTATTTAAAAGGTCAATACGATCTCATACATGATGAGTGCATGGCATCTCCGATACAAAATTATTGCGATTCCAAAATTATTTTTTTAGTGAAAAATGTTTTCAGCATTAAAATTTTAATTTGGAAAATGACTTAAATACTTAAGAAAACTTTAAGAAAACCTTAAGAAAAAAATATAAGGAATTATACATGAACTATTAATCACTTTTATAGTGTGATGTAACAGATGCCAATACATATTGAAAATTTATCCACATAAATTGTAGAAGTATACATAAGGAATTTGCTGAGAAATATAATTTCAAACTAATAAAACTTTCATTATTCTTTAGTAAACTCTATGAAATTAAATCTCGTTGTACTAACTATGAAAATTCACTCATAATTTATATTATAGCGATATATCAACGCTTCTGATAAAATATGAAATATTTGGTGATTAAATATGTGATGATAATATCCTTAAAAAGAAATTTTTTTGCCAATTTATTAAATGAAAAAGGTTGATTTAATTATTATATTTTATTAGTTAAAGAAGAATTATAAAAAATCTTGTTAACAAACAGAATATAGAAAAAC